AAAAATCTAGAATAGTTATTGAAAATACTTCATTATTTAATTAATATACTTATCTAATTAGTATCATCCAAAAGTTACAAGTTAATGAATTTTTTTTAATAATTACTTAATTCATATTCTTTACAGCTTCTTATATTCATATATGTGGTCGTAGAAATCCAAATCTCGATAAATGTATTATAGACAGCATTGATAATTTAAAGGATTTCATCTGCAAAGGAATACCGGAATTGAATACTCCACCACTTGTGCCATTCTTTATGAAACATATAACTATTTCTGACACTGATAATGCCAAATTATATCTTAAAGATGCAGAAATAATTGGGCTTTGCGATTTTACTATAAATTCTTTCCATATAGATATCGATAAACTCCATTTCAATATGGATTTGTTATTCAAACATGTTCGTTTAAACGGTACCTATGATTTCGATATAAGAGTACTGTTGCCTTTTGTTCACAAAGGACCGATTTATCTTACTGTAGGTACGTATTTATTTAATATTAAAACAAAATAAAAAATTATAAAAATCTACTTTAATAAACCGTAAAAATTTAATATGCAATTCTGTTTACCAACATTATCAAATTATGTTATTTCCAATTAAATACAAATTAGAAGCAATTCGACTTGATTAGTTATCTTACACCAATTCGTATATTATATAATTCTTTTGACGAATTGGCTAACTAGTCTTGAATAGCTTCAAATATGAATTTAATTTGAATTATATTCAATTGATCATGATTTTATTGCGATAATTTAGTAAAGTTAGCGTTTTCCGATCGAAAAATTATTTCGGCGCGTTCTGGGGGGATTACATACGTAGTATATAAATTCATACAAGAATCATACAAGCATTTAAGATCCAGCTAAATCGTTTAAGGTTATGATTTCTATAGTGTTATTCAAATACGATCCTATAATATATTATATTGTATTCATATATATATATTATATTCAATTGAACCAGTAAATATATGTATTTAATATGTTGTTTCCTTTTAGATGATGTAGGAGCAAAAGGAGAAGTAGATATGAAACTAGTAACCAAAAATGATAAAAAATACGTATATCTATCAAAAATCAACTTAAAGCTCGATTTTAAAAAGTTGAATTATATACTTGATATGAATGAAAAGCAATCAACTCAATTAAACGAAATTATTAGCAATTTCTTCGGCAGCAATGAAGAAGAATTTATCAGCAAGATTAAACCATCAATTGAAAAAGAAGTCTCTAAACAAATACTTATTCGCGCAAACAACATAGTTAAAGAGTTTACTTTTGATGAACTCTTACCTGATCGAGCATAAATTGTAAAAACTTTAAGATGTATCATCGTAAAGTTGCTCTGTAAATTCGCAATTCAAATAATGAGTAATTAAAATAAACTCTTACAAATGAAGTTGAAATTCTTTTATATAATATTTTAGAAATAAGTAACAAACTTTATTTTGACTAAGTAATATAAACAAGTATTATATAAACAAGTATTTTATAAATAAGTATTTTATAATTATTGATCATTTCACAGAACATTGTAGTTAATTGAAAATGTTCTGTTTGTAATTTTATTTTGTTTATGTTCTTGTATTGGAATGAGATTTTTTTTTTAGCAAAATATAATTAATTATTAAATTACCAACTTAATAAATTGCGGTACGGTTCTATAATATGTTTACCGATTTTATGTACATATCCACAGTTTATTATTTGTAATTAGTATAATTTATTTAAACTAGTAATATTATTATTATTATTATGTAGCAATAATGTAGAAAAACTTAGATATTAGAACTGTTCCCACATATTAAATAAATGTTATTTTAATACGCATAAGCTTAAATATTTTATTTATCCAAATATTTTTATAATAACTAAAAAAATAGAAATGTAATATGTTATTGATAATATATGTGTCATTTCATTTAAAAAAAAAGAGAAAATTTTTAGAAAAGAAAGATTTTGCAAACTGCAGAAAATTTTTTTACAAAACTTTATTTATTTCTACATTTACAACTTAATCAAATATTGGATGTAATTTTGGATGTAGATTTTTCAAATTTTATGGATATATAAAATTTACAATATATAATACACACACACACACACACACACACACACACACACATATATAATATATATATATGTGCAATCTTTTTGCACGTGTTACCATGCATTTCTTTTTAATATCATACTAATATTCTATTTTTTACATTATGTTTATTAGAAATATTAATTTCCCGGCAGTCATGTTGGAATATTATGTTGTACATTCTAAAGATTAACTGATGATAGCAAAAGGCTTTCAGGTATCTCTCTCTGATTTTAATAAATCTTGATAGATTTGTAGAAGAAGTAAAAATATTTGACATTGTATTTTTTTTATCAGCAACTAAACATGTTTAAGAAATGGGAGCAGATCTTGGAAAGGTCTTATAAAAATACAAAATATATATGATCGAAAGTTATTTACTGGTATAAAAACTGGTATAAAAAAATTAACCAGATATACTTGTTTATATTATTTGGCATCAGGACTTGGTACAATAACTTATTACGACTTATTTAAAATAAAATCTATAAAATAAAATCTAGAAACTAATTTGAAATATAAACTTGCAGAGATTAGTAAAAAAAAACTGACACGATTTATTTAATATAAAAAATATAAAAAAAATTTCAAGAATTTATTTAAAATATTAAATAAAAAATAAGTTAAAGGAAGTTATTTAAAATAATAAATTCTTGCAACTAACAGTTGGAAGTGAATCATCAGTCTGTATATCCTAACAGCACAGATCTCCAGGGTGCGTCCTGAGGACGTCCAAAGAATGTCCGTATATCCTTTGAACATCCCAAGGACATCCTCAAGATGTATGGATAAAGTGTATTATTAGGGTATGTATTATTAAAACTGATGAAGAGAGAGAGAGAGAGAGAGAGAGAGAGAGAGAGAGAGAGAGAGAGAGA